AAGTTCAGTTTCCTTTAATTTCTCGATCGTTCTGTTTATCTGGGAGACAAATTTACACGAAGTCAGAAACGCCTTTAGTTCGGCTTGGTAAAAATTATACCAATTTTATAAATAGTCCAAGATCAACTGCCCCTTAGCGAGGTGTTCTCTTGCCGAAATTTTTTTTTATAATTATAATAATTTAAAATCAGACGTTGTCGTGCTGTGGTGTGAGAGAGTCGGACCTACAAGAAAACTTAAATTCAACTGCGCAGTCGCGAAAGCAATGAAAACCGGATATTACAGATCCAGAGGCGTCTCTATCGGCTCTTTTGAATAACTTAAGTGTGGATGCGAATTAAATTGAGAAGAATTACAGAAGCGTAGAACGATCAGCTCGTGCTACTGAATCTGATTTGAAACCTCTTGAAATTCCAGCGTTGCCGTCACTGACCCAGTGATTAATGTTAACTTTTTCTAAAGCACACAACGAAGTAGGTGTCCCTCTCCATTTTTTTAACCTGAAGACGGAAGCAGACCCAGCTTCCGAAACGTAGTGCTCCGATTATGGCAACGTAGCTTGGACTGTATACAAACGAGATGAAAACAGAATTACTTCAGCACAAATGAAATCCAAGGGGGAAAATGTAGGTTATTCTCAGTGAGATTTCGGACGAATATTAAAATGTTGCGCCGTGTAGAAATTTACCGACGTTTCGGATGTTTTTGTTGCCTCCATCATCAGGTTGGAAGCAGTAAGAACCTCTGAAAGGTCCGTCAATTTCTACGTCACTATTACGCGAATGTCCAGCTCAAGAATCTCATTCAAAATTCTCAGTTACCAACGGTGATATCCCTTCTCATTCTAGCATGAAACAGGCCAGTGACAATGTGGTTCATGATGATGACTTCTTTGTGCATTTCCGGTATCATGATGATTATCAAATATCAATTGCAATTCTTGAAGTATTCTTAAACGAAAGTATTCTTGTTCGCCTTTTTTTTCGACAACTGAGCTACCGAGACAGGATGTACAAATTTTAGTTCAAGGATTGCCACACCGTGACTACATCTTCACCATTCAACTACAATGAAGACACGAGTGCCATCTGTTCGATGATGTTTGCAGCGTAGATATCGATATTGAGCGCGACCAATTGAATGTATTAACGTGAACAGGGATTGCCAACTTAGAATATGAATCATTCTGAAAACAGGAAATCGTTTTTCGTTCGTGGAAATAAGAGCCATACTATGGAGAAACCGTAATATTTATAATAATAACAATAAGATCAAAAACAGGTTTAAATGAAAATTACAAGAAAAATCATTTTGAGGTCATGACGGCGGTGGAAAGGACTGGTCTTCTGTAGACGTGACGTAACGAATTCAAAATTACATTTTGGTTTATCTTGTGTTTACACACAACTATGGTGCTACTGGAGTGGGCGCTAAGCCTACAGTCTACATTGTTTTATGTAAATCTAACAGATATTAATTGTGAATTAAATGACAGAGCTGTTTAATAATTGATGATACTGAATGAGAGAAAATTATTTGTTTCACGAATTACGCCCTCGTCGCGTCGCGTTGCGTCTGTGTGATACTTATTTGACAAACGCGTTGTTAGTTGTTATAAAGTTGGGATCTGCTAATTGTGGCTTGGCGTGGGTTACAGGGTAAATCAACGCGTGGGGTGCCGGCTGTGGGCTTGGCGTACACAAAGTAAATGTTTTGATACTTTGTGTTATTCTGCATATAACGTTTTGCTAGATTATCGAGTTGTGTGTTCAAATCAAGATAAAATTTAATGTTCGTTGGATGTAAACATGGTTCAAATTCGGTATACTCGCAATTTATTCTTGCGTGGTATGAGTGTTGTATACTTATTTGCTTTTACGTCGTTTTACATCCAAATACCTGGTAAGTTTTCATATCGTTTTATTACATTTTCATTTATAATGTGCATTGGTTTGGTGGGGGCTGAAAACATATGTTATGTATTTTGATCTGCTCAATACTGCTGAACAGGATTTTCGTTTCACTATTTAGAGACTGTTTTCCAACAAATATGAAAACTTTCTTTGGCTACAGTTTCGTGTATGAATTGTTATATTTAGTACGTGAATAAGGAAATAATACAGCCGTTTGCTTTCTTACTCTGTGCATACAGTGTTTGCCAAAATGTCATTTCGTACGGAACATTAAAAAGAAGCCTACCATTGGACCCTACCCTGTGACCCATCATTACAACTTAGGACTCTAAGATACATATCGATTTAAGTCTCTCATCTTCACCTTGATTATGCAAGTAATTTCTTTCATTGTTTTTTTTTTCCATACGAACATTTATTCCTTACGAATGAGACCGAACTTATTATAGATACTGATTCAGAATGATGAAGACTGACAAAACAGACATGGAAGAGGATGACCTGACAAAACAACCCCAAATTACACTCTGGCAATCATCTAAGGGGAACCCAAATGGGGTAGAGTGACACAGACAAAAAATCTGAGGAGGATGACCAGATGACACCACCTGTAATTAAGGGGTGTCCAAGTGGAAGCATCTTACATGCCAATAAAAGTTTCTGTGTGGTAGTGTTATGCCATGAAGGAACAAGTTCCAGATATCCTTTGGTTGGGAGGCTGGGTATGTCTTCAGATCTGGTCTGTATGAAATCCTCCTCGCTCCTGCCCCAGTCATCCAAATTATACTCTGAGCTATTGTGACTAGTAGAGGCATTAATTTACCATTTTGTTGTCATGCTTTCAGGTCTATATGGGAATAATGGTGTGCTTCCGGCAAGAACACAGTTGGATAGTAAAGCGAAGACCCTAAGTGCCAGAATACACACAAAGCCTACGTTGTTATGGCTGGCCCCTTACATTGGTCTTGACACAGAATACATGATGGATGTGTTGGCACTACTGGGCATCTTCCTGGCATTCACAGGGTAAGAGGGCATGCAATTTATTTCATTAGCGGCTTTGTTTACCAGAAATATTTTGTGGTGTATTGAAGATGATACTCATTTTATATGGAGAAGCGTGTTTTCTGGTCAGGATGTTTGCAGTTTTTCTGAGGCTGTGTGGTCAAATGGACGTTGAAAACTCCTTCCAAGTTTATTGAACGTAATCAGTCATCCTTTCATTTAATTTAGTACTAAATGTGTGTAGTTGATATGAGCTTCATTAAATACCTTTCAGAAAAACCAACCATTAATTAAACAGTCTAATTGTTGATCTTCTGGGTTGTAACATCGTGTGAATTTCTAGGTACATATCAGTATTTCATGGGGACATAATTCCTCTCTATCTTTAGCCCTGAAGATGAAAGCAGTATGTCCCTCTGAATCGTTGACATCTTCGTACAAGTTCACAGTCTTACGACTCAGAAGATGATATCAATATCTTCACTGCCACGAAAACCTCAGATCTCAATAATGAATCTTGTATTCATTAGTATGACGAAATTCGAGCTCTTGACATTTTATCACAGAGCATGTGACTGATCCCTGCAGTGATCATCTTATTGGAACACTTTTGCGATGTGATTACTGTGTACACGACTGTAATTTATATTTATATTATAAACAAATATTTTGCTTGATTATCTTTGGCTTGGGCCCTTTGAAGGATCTATGGAATGTAAATAAATTCTATTCTGATACAATTAAAGATGGCCGTAGCATGGATTTAATTTTCTTTGGCTATGCTTGACCACAGTAGCCAGTTTTAAATTGTTTCTTACTTGCAGTGGATGCGAACCCGTAGCCATTAGATAATGTACCTTTTGCAGGTTTGTCTCGCAGAAGTTCTGTACTGCTCCGTCGTTTGCGGGCCTGTGGTCCCTCTACTACTCGTTATACCAAGTGGGGCAGACTTTCATGTGGTTTCAGTGGTAAGTTCTTTCTAGTACAGTATTACTGTAAATTTTTGCACATGGAACTTCTTCTATGGCTCTCCGGTCCGTATTCGGTCCACGACCTCCTCAATTCTCCTCTTCCATACGGTCCTCTTGTTAGGTCCGTCTGTCCGAGGCTTTGATCGAGGTTTGGAATCATCTTCCTTTTTACGGTGCGAGGTTGTTAGCCTTGCGACCAGCCTCCAACCTGGAGGACCAGGATACCTGTCTTAGTCTAACCTCTCCCCCTCGACCAACCCTACCAGTAGCTATGCTGGCTGTATTCCCTTACAGTACGAAAAGAGAAGGGTTATCGCTCTCACTGAAATAACACTCAAAATTGTAACGAGATCCAATTAATATATACTAACAAAGAAGGAAAAATTACAAACATGAGATACAGGCATAAACGTAGTTCATATAGAATTTCTTGCTAGGAGCCAAAAGGAAGTTTCAGATACAAATGAACACGAATTGCAGTACTGAAATAGAAATGAGATAACCGATCGAACAAATTGTCTAGAACTTTGCTTTCCTGGAGGTGGCCTGACTGTAAAGTTATTCAACGTTAACTAGGGAACCGTGGTTCCACTGTCAATTTTTTATTCATATAATTTTAAATCATGATATTTTCTTATCTGCAATAGAAACTCTTAGTTTTAATACTTTGTATTATTTAATGACGTTATATCATTTTGGGAAAATCATCTTCGCTTTGACGAAATTAGTAGGTTTCTCCAAAAAACATTGAAAGTTTCTTCTTCGTAGAGTTAATGTTGTTACTTTCAGGGATGTCTTGCTGTTGGAAGCAGGTTTCCTATCAATCCTGGTGGCGCCATTGCGCTACCAATCCCATTTAAGACGCCGAGCAGCGACTGCAGCTCCTAGTGATTCTATTTCATTCTGGCTTGTTCGGTGGCTGTTGTTCCGGTTGATGTTCCAGTCTGGAGTCGTAAAGCTCTTGAGTTACTGTCCCACCTGGTGGGGGCTTACAGGTAAATATTGTTCTTCTATAAACTTTAGGCAATGTCTTTGTTATCACTCAACAAAAGTAAATCAACGTGAAACAAAAATATTCTTCGGAAATATCCGTATGTTGATTCTCTGTGGATATGTTATTGGTGGGTTAGTTCATGGATTCACCACGGTCATTTAAGTGGTTCTTGAGAACTGATTTAAGGCATGGTGCTCATTATTACCGCTAATATTGTATGATATTGCTGTGACCTTGAAGCACACAATTTGGCGGTGGCTACTGTAACGGTTGTGTGGCGTTATACCGTCCATCACCACAACTTAGGAACTGAAGAACCGTCTTAACCACTTCCCTTATCGTCCTAAAATAACTCGGATTGAAAATTTTGCTGTAAATTTGTTACACAAGTTAACTCGCAGGATTTAGAATTTTATGGCTATCGACTTATTTTGCCGATTTCTTTTGTTTCTTGCAATTTGAGCTTCTCGCTAGACGGATGCTGCATTTAGTAGTTCACCGACAGATGCTTTTGTACATCTGTCTTTATTTCTCACAGTGCTTAGATGTTTACCCTCATTTAGCAGGTTTTTGCAAAAAGTCGTAACATGCAATGCGTTGTATTGGTTCGTTTTTATTTTCGAGTTCTTGCAGTATTTTGTGATTAAGGAACGTGAAAATTATCGTGACACTTGTGGTGATGGAAGAAATTTCTGTTGTTGAGTCCAGCAGTGATATTTCTGTGGCAGAATTATGACATACAGACTCAGATTCAGACACCTTTATTGACGTAGGAGTTTGGCAATCCGCGGAAATGAAAAACGTGCAGATGACAAAATAAGTTTTGGCCCCACATTTAAAAAGAAATTAGTAAGACGAGTGGTTAATGTTACTCTCCCATCATGTTAATCTTCCAAGATGTCACCCACCAACATTTTGGATGCACTTGTAAGTTATTTTCTTCCCTCAGAGTAAGAGATTACGTCAAATTCTTACATAACGGGCGGCAGAATTGTGTTTTTGCAAATCCTGAGATTCGGTGTTACGGACAGTAGACTGGGTGTTAAGGTTTACAACTGTATACATGCAATAAGTACTTTTTTTAATGCATTCCCCTAATTTTATCACAAACCTCATTTCTTTTTGTGTTCTTCCCAGCTACATTGCCAAATATTAATTGCATATTATGATTCTAGTTCTGTGCCGTTCGTATATTTAGTTCTGTCTATTTTAACTTTTAGACCGGTTTACGTGCTGGCTTATAGAGGAATTTCTGCATTATTCTTTAATTCCTGTCTGTCCTCTTCCAAACGTATGTCATAAAAGAACCTTCAACTTTCTTCGCTTAATAAAAATAATTTAGAACACAGAAGTTTTTCGCTCTGCAGGAGACATTTAATGTGCATAATGACAAGTTGCATTATTTTGTTATCTCTGTCACAGCTTTGTCAATTCATTTTGAGTCTCAGTGTATTCCAACGCCGCTGGCCTGGTATGCCCACCACTTGCCAAGATGGCTTCTCAAGCTTTCAACAGCTTTCACTTTTGTTGTTGAAATTGGGTTGCCTCATCTGTTTTTCTTCCCTGTTCGCTCAGTACGGATTGTCGCTTTCTTCCTTCAGGTACGTAGTAACATCACACACATTTGCATATTGTAATGTAGCGTGAAACATGTTTATACACACCGATAATTTGCGACCTCTTTTGGATATGATTAATATTTCATTTTTTTATGGTCGATCCTAAAAAAAATATTGCAGAGATAATGAATGTTTCTTATTTACTATCCTAAATGCTGGCAGTATGTATATAAGGTGAATTTGCCGCTGTGACTAATCAGGACATCGTGAATGCTTTAGGGTGTTAGGGGTAAAGTTTCACACTTTACAGACCTTGAAACTGTAGTTGATAAGTGTTGGATGTTCTACCCTGGGGAAAGAGCTTGTAATACCCGTGGATGGATGATCCTAACATCTGTCAGGACGTGGCGGACTTCCTGCCCCTGCCCAGAATAGAACGCATCCAGTTAGGCTGTTGGGAGTTCTGACTGAGCTAGCCTTGCTCCGAGCAGTCCATAACCGTATGTTTTAGCGGAGATGTAATGTCGTCAAGGCGCAAGAGGACAGCTGTCGGGTTTGTGACCTTAGTTTCTGTAATCTCCTTGCCAAAAAAGTTGTTGTTCTTTGTGCTTAGTTGACAAATTACTGAAACCATCTTTATCAGGACTCAAACCCAGGACAGTTTTTAGGGTTGTTGCCTGTGTTTCTATAATATTCTCCAGAACAAAGAACTTTGGTCTTGGCACTGTTGTTATATCATGTTTCTGAGTAATGGGAACCATGTTCGTCGGGACTCTCAAGGAATAAGCCTAGTTTTGTGAAAGTCAATTTGTCCCTTCTCAGTCTGTGAGTTTACATACAGATATACATAACCACAATTTTAAGTGAATATCTATGTAAAAAACTAAAACAATTTGTAATGGCCTAATAACTGATCCTAACTATTTATAACAAGTTAGTCATGAGTTAGGGTTTGCAGTGGTCGCGCAGTCTGAGGCGTGGGTCTTCTGTTGCTTGGTCGCTGGGACCGTGGGTTCGAATCCCACTCAAGCCATGGATGTTTGTCCGTGTTATCCTGTGTTGTGTTGTCCTGTGTACAGGTAGAGGCCTTGCGACGGGCCGATCCCTCATCCAAGGAGTCCTACCGAATGTCTATAGATCGAGCCAACGAAAAGTTGGGACCCGCAGTGCTCAGGCACTTGAAGAATGGGTCGTTTTAAGTATCCCAGTAGTCATGAGTTATTATTTAATTAATTATGGAAGGGAGAGGGCATTAGCTCACAAAACGTAGCCTGAATGAACTGCTGTCACTTTCAGGGTAGAGTGATTTTAGGTCCACTAATAGCACAGATTCCTACTCCACCTCCGTCAGGGTTGTCAGGTCTACTCTTATGCCTTACTGACGATAGTAGTAAGGGCTTTGGAATTTTATGCCAGAGATATTGGATTTGAAATGGCTGGATCCCATGAGGATTTCACCCTAACCTTTGACAGGTAACAGTTGTCAGATGTGGTTCAGAGCTCATGTTGGGCTGTTTGTCTCCCCTACCCGCCATTGTCATCATACTAGTATTTTGGTGACACCACCTCAGAAATGTACTCCTCCACTGTTGCCAAGGCAACAAGAGAGACTGAGGGTATTGTATGCCATAACTATTTGTAATAAAAACTAAATATGGTGTGTCACTTGGGATTAGAGTTTGTTTTGTTCACTTTTGCAGGTCTTACTTCAGATAGCAATTATTTTGACAGGCAACTACAATTTCTTCAATATCCTTACAATTGTACTCTGCATCTCCTTACTGGACGATGATGTCTTTTATCGCAGGAGGCTGCAGAAAGGTAAACATTGTTTGTAAAGCTTAATTTCCTTGTCGAGCTCATGCACGTCAGAACATTTTTCAGTGAAAATTGGTGAAAATATATGTTACCTTGAAACATATTTATCTGAGCTCTTTTCTCTTTTGCACTGAAAAATGATGTTCATGTTAAGATTTGAACTTTCGAAACATTTTCTTTGTTTTTGTATATATTCAATATATTACAGGGCTGGGGTCCGTAGTGGCCGCTCGGTCTGAGGCGCGGGCCTTGTGCCGCTCAGTCGCTGGGACCGTGGGTTCGAATCCCACTCAAGCCATGGATGTTTGTTGTGCTGTCCTGTGTACAGGTAGAGGCCTTGCGACCGGCCGATCCCTTGTCCAAGGAGTCCTACCGAATGTCTATAGATCAAAGCCAATGAAAACGTTGGGACCCGCAGTGCTCAGGCACTTGAAGAATGGGTCGTTCCCAGTATTACAGGGCTACAGGGTGTTCAATATAGTGTCATAAGCTTTACAATATCACATTTATACTTTTAATAATAGGTATGTATTTGTAATAAATGTGTTGGTGCAACATGCTTCGTAAATTGGTATATATCTGTTCATTCTTGGTCATCTAAGTAATGGTGATTGAATTACAGGTAAACAAGATGTGTGGTGGAGTGGTCTAGTTAGCAAGTTGGTGAATGTTGCTGTGTACGGAGGTGTGCTGTATGCCACATACATCTTGTTCTCAGTAAGAATAAGCTCTTCATGGGCTATTGAATCTGACGTGGGTAAGTACCTTTAGTTTTGCAGAATGTGATACCGTATCGCCATTTCCAGTTCCTCTTGGTATGAGTTCCACATGGAAGTTTTGAAACGTACAGTTAATTAGTATACACGTCTAAAATATCGTTAGTATTTGTGCAAGTACGACATGATCATAAAAATTGCGGATATCAGGTTTCAGACTCACAAATGTAATCCCGTCATCAAGACGCTAATCTTTACCCTATCAGCTTTCGTAACAGGGAACATGGCCAACGTAGCAAAATGCAGCCTTTAACCCCGTTTCTTGTCAGAATTTGTCACGCGGCTCAGAAGACTCATTAACGTTAATTTGCATTTATCTTTAAATAGGAAGAGATTGATGACTTTGCTTAATAGACATCTGGCATAAATCATTGTAGTTGATGGAAGGCAGAGAGAAGCCTCATACAGACACCTGTTTTTGAAACGTCGTGTGCATTCTAATCTTCGACGATGGACAAAGTCCGAAATCCAGTAACACCAACTATATCATACCATTGTCAAATCCAATTGTGGCATTGTGAGATTTACGTGAAGAATAAATATTCTATTGGCTGATGTAATAAGACTGTTGTTGCGGTATGTTTTCGCAGCATTCACAAAGCAGGAGTTAGACTGGGTGCTGTCACGTGTCGTTCCTGGCTCTGTGTACCTAGGCTTTGTCTCCTTGAGTCTAATAGTGGCTGAAGCTCTGACTGTGTCCATCTTGGAAATCCCTGGAATTTTCAGCAAGATTCAAACTATCTTAACCACGCTATTCTATACTGGAGTTGCAGCATTTGTCTTTGGCATCAGTCTTGTAAGTATTGTTCGTAAACCAAGTACAGTAAGACAAAAATAATCAGCACTATTGGTGCCTTGGTATTGCATTTGTGTAAAATATACAGAATGAGAGCTTTCTTATGACAGTAACTACTGTTTATGGTCTATAGCTGACAGTGCATGAATGTACCTTTAATCCAATCTCCGCATCTGTACAGGCTAAATTAGAATGTATGAGTACCTTAATGATAAATAATCCGTGGCGTAACAGCCAAAGCCGACTGCTGGCCTCACATTCACATGCCTAAGCAGAGGTGAACGATCATCCAACCAGATATAGGGTGACGTGTGGTCAGCACGACGAACCCCCAGCCATTGCTAGTTTCCATAACCGGATTACGATACCCATTGTAGCTCCCCAATTTCCTCATGATGCTGGGTTGGCACCGGTCGAAAATCTCGTGAGAAATTTCTTTCCCCAAGACTCGAACCGGCGCGCATTCCGTATCACCTGTCCGAAGCACAATGCCTCAGACTGCGCGGCTACGGCGCGGGACGTATGAGTACCTTACATGACCAAATTTTAGCCATTCAGAGGTGTTCGTCGAGTGTTGTATTCTGCTGCAATTTTTTTTTTCTCTGTCAGGTGTGGAATATGATGGACTTGAAATGTGGTTGTAGAGGAGACTAAGAGCTTAAAAAATGTGGCAGTGAAAAGTTATTGAACAGAAGTTTAATTGAAAACTGAGGATTTCCACTTTAAAATACGTGATATTGCATGTGCGTCGTGTGTTCTATTTTCAGGTACCTTATTCTAGCCTTCATCCTGCTGGCAACAGTACCGTGATCCCCGTCCTCCATCACTGGCATTCACGTCTGGACCATTTGCATCTCGCAAATTCATATGGCCTCTTCCGAAGGATGACCGGTGTCGGAGGACGCCCAGAGGTTATTTTGGAGGGCAGCAACCACATTGATGGACCCTGGCTTGAGTACAACTTCTTGTACAAGCCAGGCAATGTCAACTCTACTCCCTCGTTTGTTGGTTAGTTTCAAGTATACATCGTGACGAGGAAAATTCCTGCACGTGATATATCTTCAATAATTATGCGTGTCCACCAGTGTCAGCCGTCATATACCTAACCTTGTCTGTTCTTGATCTTCCCATAATCTCATGTAGCTAAGAGTATATTTTTCTGTGCGTTTTGCATACTTTCTCTATGTCTTTCCACCTTGTCGGAGGAGTCATAATGTCATTCATAGCACTGTATCAACTTGTTATATTGAACTCTGACCTCGATTAGTTTTTTTCTCTCTGTACGGAACAAGACAAGATTGTGAATTAGAAGAATTTTGCAAATAATCCTTCAATTCAATGTTTTTGGTGAAAAATCAATATATGGTTCAGAGATCCTATTGGTACTTTACATTTCTTTGACAGTTATAGTACATAATTTTGTACAAATTTCTTCATGCATGTGTGGTGGCTCAGATTTGAACTGTACATCCAACTTTGAGCAGTTTTTCATGCCCTCGCGTAGCGTATCAGCAGCAGAAAGTTTTTATGTACGATTATTAATAGATGGGCTCTGGAACGAGCAAAATTTGAGGCGAGTTTTTGACGTGACCAAGTGGACCATTCATTCTCTTGTTAGTTTATTTCTGTATCTCCATGAGAACTGAAAATTAAATTTTGACTTCCCTTTATTGTATTGCTTTTTTAACTTCTTGCGATGGTTGATATACAGAATTATAAATTAGGATACAGACATGAAGATTATGTATGTAAGTTTTTGGATAATTGATTGTTTTTGCGAATTTTATAAGTCGTCTTTATTGAGGTCATGTTAACGATCTGTGTGTGTTCTGTATTGTTTGTGAACTAGCAGTTGTTTCTTTTGTAGCTTTATATTGGTATTATAAATAGACTGCAGTAAAATTTTCATTCAGCAAAGGAAGGATGTTATTACAAGCGTGAACGTTTGATCAGGAAGTACCTACGAGAGGATGTCAGAATCTTGTCCCTGATTAACTGGTGTTTGTAATTATGTAGCACCCCATCAGCCACGTCTGGACTGGCAAATGTGGTTTGCTGCCCTGGGGACATATCACCAAAATCCATGGATTATGAGTCTGACTTACAGGCTTCTTCAAGGTCAACCCGAAGTACTTCAACTAATTGATACATCACGGAATCCATTTCCAGCTAAGCCACCCAAGTATATCAAAGCCAGTCTGTACCATTATCACTACTCGGCATGGTCGCAGAGGTAAGAAAGTTATTTTAAAAATGAAATAACATAGTTATGTCAAGGAATTTGTAGCGTAATATGTATTTTCCTGCACTTGTTTTTAGGTGGTCTGGCCCTTGGTGGACGCGAGAGAAAGTCGGCGAATACTTACCAATCTTTTCACGCGACCACCCGCCATTACTCGACTATCTGCGTAACATCAAAATCCTGACTGGAGCTTCGCAAGAGGGCACAGATTCCGGGTCACACGTTGCTCCCTGGCTGAAGGCGCTCTTAGATCGTCTTCGATATCTGGTATCTCTTGTCGAACCCAGCATCCTCCTCTGGTCCATTTTCAGTGCGGGATGTGCAATCATCACTACTTCCAGTACCACAGGTTCTACTGTGACACGGAGATAGGCACATTTTAGATTTTCATTGTCATTTCTTGGGGCTTCTGTTTGCACTTTGGTCATAATATTGGCTGGTGTGCCAGTGTTTTGATCATCTTGACTGTCTTTATTTTAATGATCTGAAATGGCTTGACCCTGAAGGTGGAAAAAGCCAAAATTCCTTAAATATTTTCAAACTACCAGCCATAAACATATTTTTGCCATCTGAAAGTGCAAACACTAGCCTCTACCGCCAGGATCGCTGAACAGCCATTTTCAGTCGAAAGTAAAAGGGATTTCCTTGTATTACTATAATACGGTGGTGGATAGGACAGTTGGCGATGATATTAATTGCGGGCAATCCTGCAGAGTTAACTTCCTACTTCTGTGATTGTCACGATTGCTCATACATTTCCTGTCTCTGAAGTGTTATAAGAGCTTTGAGGGCTGACTGATTTCTGATTCTTTTTGTGCATTATTCCTGTTTTTGATATTCATTATTTTTGTTTCTGAGAAAGTACCATTATTGTGTTCCTATACAGGAGTGAATTCCTTTTTTTTACCTTTTCCTCCTATATATCTGAATGTAAGATATGTGAATGTGTTTTTTACGCGCAGTAAAATATCAGTTCGCTGAATGTCCGCAGTACAGATTCACGTTACTATGCATACTTTCAGTATGACTTTTCTAATCTAAAGTCGTGATAAGCTTAATATTTGCATCATAAGTTTGCCGTTTGCTTTGTCTAGGAGCGGAGCTTTTGCGTTAACTGTCGGCTTGGTTAAAACTTGGAAAAATGATTTCTTACTTTTGTGGTATGTGATTCAGTGGTAATTCAAGATAAGTGATCAGATAAAACGCGTCGTTAGCCACCTAGTTGAGGCTTTTGTGGAGGAGGGAGTTTCTGATATTCCAAAACAAGATGTTAGCCAAACCTCGACTGTTAACATGCTTTAGTTGCTTACATGATCACATTTAGAGTGCTACATCACATTTTTGTTGTGTGTGTATGCTATGCTGTGATTTGTGCGTTATGGAAGATGAAATTTGTGACTGTGCTGTAGGCCAGCGTCGTATAACTGGTTTGCCACCACAAGGATTCAGGTGTGCTACAGATTTTTCTAAGAAATTGTATATTTGCATGTTATAATTAGAAAAATGATATACCATATCTTAATTAGAATTCTTTACACACACGCATGTTCACCATTGATTGTTTTATTTATTGTGTGTAATTTTTTTATGTGTGCCTGCGTTCTTATAGGGCAAGAAGAAAATCATTGAAATTGGTACATGAAATCATTTTCTCACAAAAAATGGTGGAACAGTCAAAGAATAGGTTATGCTATTTTTCTGATTCTTGGTACAAAACTGGTCCTTGGGTGTGTCTGTGAGAAATCTTTATCTTGTTGACCTTGTTACCTTTCTGTCAGCCGAAAGAAATTTTTGGACCTAGGACAGTGTTAGCGATATTATTTCTTTCTGTGTTTAAAAAACACGTACTCTTAATGAATCGTGTGACTACTAAAATAGCTTTACAGAAGTTTGGTAAGACTTTGAGTTGACAGTTCTTTCAATCTGGTATATAAAAAACATTGCAAAAAGCATGATGAAATGTCAGAACCATTAAATTGTTAGGTGCTATTTGCTACTTGGTCTAGCAAAAACTCCCTTTTTTTGGAGGCCATCTGGAAAATGTGCAGAATACCATTGTCACAGTATGATGAAAAACTTTGTATTCTCTTGGAATCGTCAACAGTTTCTTTATTGGCATCTCTCTTGACATCCAGAATGACCTCGTTGTTTCCATTTCAATCACGATGTTGAACAGAATAAAAGGAGTTCAAACAAACTTCCTTTTTTGATGAAATATTCTCGGACTACAAGCCACGTCAGGTGGCTGAACGGTGAACACACCAATTCTTGTGCCAACATTTCGAGAATCATCTCTGTTCTCATCCTCAGGGTTGCTGGGTAAGGATGAGAACAAAGATTGTTCTTGAAACATTGGCAGAAGAATTGGTGTGTTCACCGTTCAGCCACCTGACGTGGCTTGTAGCCCGAGAGTATTTCATCAACTTTAGTTGCCACAAAAGCTTCACTTCATACATGAAACTTCCTTGAATTGAAGATGTGGTTATAGGTGTATCTGGAAAATCCAAACTTCAATAATTTCTTCTTCATTATATGATTTTTGGTGACATTGTACAGGAATGATTTATCAGAATTTTAGATGTTAGTGGAGAGTACTCTGCTGCATCCTTATCCATGCATGTGTTAACCAAATTAATTAATTTCAGTGCGCGAAATACTAGTAGCTCAAACTTTGGACAGTGCAGCATATTGGACTGCAAGAATTAATTTGCCATGAAACAGCTTCTTTCATGCATTGTTTTTCTCACCAGTTGAACTTTGTGCAAAGAGAGTCAATTGAATGTAATCCAGAGTGTAAAGGTTACTTGGAAACATTGTCTGGTTTTGCAACCATCAAAGAGGTTAGCAACATTTGACAAGCTTGTCATTGGATGCCTGCCCTCAAAAATGGCTATACACAGAAAGATTGGGTGAAATTTTGTCACAGCTGAAAACAGAAATTCATCAGTGTCTTAAAATTCATGATGAATGACAGAAAAGGGTAGGATGGTGAAACGCTATTTTCTGCTCATTGATATAGTGGAATTCCTCAAGATTTTGATATCAGTTTTTGTTTGAAAGTGTTTTCAGAAGTATTCCTGCAACCCAAAACTTGTTTAAATAATTCAAGCTATGTTTAATGACATCAGGTACCATATTTACATGAAATAGATGTGATTTAAAATCTGAGTACCCCCCCTCCCACTAAGAAGTACGTCTGTACAGAAATTATTTTAATTTCATAATTAGTACATGAAAGCATGTGAAAGATGGTAGATATTTGAAAATATACTATACATTAGACTTATTGATTAGCCCTCTGTATCCCAAACCAGCTTAAGGGGAAAAAATTCCTTTGTGCAGTTTTGATAATCATTGATCAGATAATATGTGAATAATTTTAGTTGTTGAAAAAAGTGTATTGTTTAGTAAAAATACAGTTGTTACTTTAAAGTTTTAATGGTGTATAAAATATTCATATTGAACATCCTCCTGACTTAGGTCCAATTTGTACAGAGAAACAAATATTACATGAATGGTTGAGGTTAGCTCTTTCTATCGGACCCAATTGAGTAGGTGCGTCTCCCCACTTTTTAACCTGAGGACGGAAGCAAATCCAACTTCCAAAACGTAGTGTTCTTTTTAAAAAACAGACGATGGACATTGTCCAAGAATTTAGTAATCCCGATTGGAATTTGTTCAGTTAATCAGACTCTTTCCTCGTTTGGAATGTATTTCTTAATATGGTGTTAAGGTTGAATTTTGCAGCACGGTGTGTACACACTCTGGCGAAGGCACACACTACAAAAGGAGGGAAGTGGCTGTCTACAAAGTGTATTTTATGATTTTGTGCATGCTTTTTTGATCTTGAAGTATTTGTTCTTCTGTCATGAAATTTGAAATATATATTTGATATACTTACGTATCTAGCTACGTATTCAATATCAGTGTTTCTCGACCTTTCTTGTACTGCAAACCCCCTCCCCAAAATTATCTCATAAATGATTCAATAGAATGTAAACACAACTAAAATATAGATAGAGGGCATATTTTTTCATGTTTTACTTCAATGTGGAACTTAAAAAGTGGTGTCAGTCACTTTTGAGCTGTCATTTAGTGTTTAATGCAATTTAGGATGAAAATTTGTATCTAAATGAAACATTGCCAAGGTTTGAAAAGTGCCTTTATCTGTAGGTGGAGATTGCGAAGTAGATTGCAATTAACTTTTAAAAATTGCAAGTGTCAAGTTCAGTAATTCTTTCTCATATTTCTGACAAAAGGGCATGTTTAAATTCAGTGAAAAGGGTGTGTCCAGAGGTTTTTATTTTACTGAGAAAAAGTACAGCTGTTCCTGTTTCTACCTCATCCGCTGAAAGAAGCTTTTCGAGTCAGAAATTTATAAAAGACCAACCACCGAGCAACAATGGCACAATTGGCTGTTATTTCAACAGGATGAAGTAACTGTAGTGCTGGACTTCAGAAATCATGGGATCATCCTGTTAGAGAAAACGCAGAGAATGGAATAGGTATGGTGAGTTAAAATGTTTGTAGTTTGTCAAGACTGCAGATTCATCACATTCAGTGGCCTTGGTAGGCAATCTCTGTACAAATATGTCGTTTATGCGATAATTACCTGCGTTAGGATTTACAGCCGAAAAAATGGATGTCAGTTCTAGAAAGGTAGTTTTCAAATCGTTAAAATTACAATAACCTAAAATGCCTTAAGTGTGTACTACTAAGGGGTCTCGCATTTGGCTCCGCCTCCCCTGACTGGATATGAGAGTGATTACTAAAATGTATATCGGCATCAAAACGCTGACAATTAAAGAAAACCAATAATTAATGCTTGCAATATATACTTGTAGTTAGTTTTTGCTCATTTATAGTCTTCATATTGCATTTTTCAACAGTAAGTCAAATAAATAATAGTTATATCAATGAGCAATAAGATACAGAACAACTGAAGATGTGTTAATTTATGAATGATATTTGTGTTTTGATAAACAGGAAAAGTTAAAACTGTTGAGGAAATACAGTTTCGATTAGAACTGGTGTTGGAAGGTACTTGCTGCGTCTTTCACGGGGCGTGTGAGGAGCTATGCAGAGCAAATTGTTGGCAGCGAGTAGCGGATGATTGGGTTTGATTTATGCTTGTAATCGACAAAATAATAGTGATTTGAAGTTGATCTGCTAATTTCAGAACTAAAGTTAATGAATTCCTCAAGCTGTATCAAACCACAACGAATGTTTACAAAATATAGTTTGGGTAGGCGTGTTTCATTGTACGTACAACTTTTAGGTTATGTTACGGCCCGAAGTGATATTGACTGAAGTAAATGAAACTTATCATATTCTCATATATCTTCCAGTTTATTTTTATGAAAGTGCAGATTACAGTAAAGCTACTCATTGCTGAACTAGTGCACTGTCCATATCTTTTGTGTAATATGTATTTAATATTTGTATGAACTTACGTTTTTCAACTTTAGAATATTCCAATTTGAAAAAAGGGAATACCTGTTCGCCCATCCCCTGTGTCAATCAAGGATACGAATATTTATCTTATACACTAACTGAACAACTTCCATGGCTCCAATTGAACGCTTTGATACTGAAAAACTCTCTATCTTCTAACTTTTAGACTGTCATCACCAGTACAAACATGGCATGATGCAAGATATGAACCAAAATTAGGTTTATTTTATGTAGGGCCTTTAAGTTATGAGTGGTGATAATTTTTTTAAAAAGTGCAACTTTTAACTTTTCTTTTAGTACTATACCAGAAATAACATGGGAGCTGTACAAAGCTGTTGCTGCAATAACGACAGAATCATTGTAACTTGTGAAATTTGTAAGGTGACATATTACAAAAACATCTGCCAGTAGTGTTATAATTAGTATTGAAATCTGTGAGTTATGTAGGCTTATTGATTTTATATTCACATTTTAGGACAGCAGCTTTATAAATATTCAAGGAAGTCATTTGTGCTACATTCAGCGGTAGGAAACAGATGTCTGCAGTCAGAAATGAGTGGAGAAGTGTTTGGCAAGCCTGTAGAACATTCTATCCACAAGAAGTTGGTGGAGACTTTCAACCCAGTTCATCTTGATATCTTGAACGAATCACATATGCATAATGTACCACCTGGATCTGAAACACACTTCAAGGTTGTGGTTGTTTCTGATAAGTTTAACAACCTGCCATTAATCAAGGTACAGTTTATTGAATGAGATTTGAGGTTTTCAGGGTGGCAAGTATGAAGATGACTTGTCGTCTGGGTCGTTTAGACATTTTGCAAGCATCAAACATCAGTAAACTTCTGCCATATTACTCGGCACAACGACCTAGATGACAGTCATTTTATAATTTACTGTGCTTACTGTTGGACTTAATCTGCTGTAGCATTGGTGAGTTTTTCTTAAACTTACTAGAGATTAATCTCATTTACTGTCAAGCTGAGAGGCTACCTGACCAATCAGGAAGTGGTAGACCCTAAACCCTAAGTGTATGTGAATATTGACAAGTGGTGATTTTCTCATAAGTGAACTTGAATTGAATTAAGCCCACAAAGTGCACGGACAATTCATTTTCTTGCAGAGGCACAGAATGGTAAATGATGCTCTGAGTTCGGACTTACAGAATGGAGTTCATGCTCTGTCTATTGTGGTAAGTTGAGACTAATGAAATATTAAAGTATCTAATCCAGGACTGAGCAACTCAGGCATGCCCACAAATTAATTATTCATATGTTATTAAGACACTTTTCCTTTGTACCAGTTAATTTATGACGTCTCTGAATAATTATTAACAATGTTATTTGTATGTTCAGTCTGTAAAAATAATTTATAGCTATTTAACAGTTTTTTAATTACATTTTTCATGTAAGGCTGTCTGTCCATTATCATCCATCCTTAAATGTTTTGTGGCTTTTCTGAGTCGCTCCAGAAACCTGACGGGATATCCCGTCCAAAATTTGAGACTGGTACAATCTGAGCATAAGAATCTTGCTTTAAAACCAGTTTCTGGGTAGAGACAGAAAAACTGTGGAAAACTTAATCAGGATGTGTAGCGATCATATTGGGAATAGATACTTTGTTAATGTAGCGTGTAATTTCTTACACTGAATTTCTGTTGCAGGCCAAGACACCAGATCAGTGGGAGGAAAGTACAAAACAAGTGTCCCCAAGTCCAGCGTGCAGAGGTGGTTTTGGGAAATGAGGCCCTTGTCAGTAGAAAATCCTGTCGTCTTACCAAATTAGGTGATTACAAATTTTGCTTACAATTACGATATGGATTTTAACTTAATACAGATGTGGCAAGAGGTACTCATTTAACTGAAATAAGAAAAGAAATAGGTATGATATGTATGAAATATTTATTAAATTCGTTTCATTTGCAAAAAATTTTAAATTATTACTCAAATTAGCTTAGAGCCATATGGTATTTTTAGTGCTTAATGATTAGCAGCAATATCAGCTGTAGAGGCCGAGCAAGAACGGCTGGCATTTGCGCAAAGGACTGATTTTGGTCGTATGAGATGGACCCGTCCAACGCGCACGCTAGAGGTTCAGTTGGTTTGTAGCTCTGTGTTTAGATCGGTGTGTCACCGCAGCTGAAGCTGTGCGACCTCCGCTACTACTGAACTCCCCTCTCTTGGCTTACACATCACGCATTTAGGTCTCACGACTACTCGCGCGACCTATACACACACACAGCTATAATAAAAGTGGAAAGATGCACTCGAACTCGGAGTACATACATTTTCATAATTTGTCCCCTTTCCCTGATTTCATTGACTAGCTGCTGAAAGAAGCTCCTGTACCATGGAGTTAGAGATTCTTCAGGCTGTCAATGTATTCAAATACCATGTCCATAAGTTGACTTCACGACGAACCTCCAGCCATTGCTAGTTTTCATGACCGGATTACGCTACCCATTGTAGCTCCCCAATTTCCTCACAATTCTGGGTTGGCACCGGTCCCATACACCGGTCGAAAAGCTCAAGAGAAATTTCTTTCCCCGAGACTCGAACCAGCATATTTTTGTGCTCACTTCATATGGTTCAAGTAACTGTTTTATTGTCAATCATAATTTTATAATTTTTAATTGTGTAATTCTCATGCAGTTACGATACATCTTGGTTAGAGGAGTCGCACATCCGTCAGTCACAATTTCTCTCGGTTTCATAAACTGTACACGGGGCAGATAATAAATTCAATGTATTTTATTTAAATCAGATGTTACAAAATCTTATCAGCATATGAAAGTAGAAACCCACAATCTGTTCAACGCACATACGCATGATTAAACAATGGTTTGGAATTAAATGCAATGTTCTTGAAAATGATTTATCAAATTTCAAAAAAATGTTATCTTGTATTTATCACATTCACAGAAATGTCATTCTGTGTTTTAAAAACTGGCAGTCGGGGGGATAATTTGTGCCAACCTAAATGGAAACAAATATAGTTACGTGCTTTGTGCAATAGGACATGCCCCACGTAAGAGCTTACTTTTTGTCAACGTCCTTTCTCGTAAATTGCAGTAGTCTCGTGAGCATTGAGTTAATGCAAGGAATCTGCTTCTTTTGGTGCATAAAAATATTACCCGGCGTGTTTGACTCAAAGTCTAGAGCTACGCGTTGAAGAACAAATGTTAGGAGTGTGAGGATGTGAACCGAAGTTCCTTTGTCTTCCAGTTCGCAACACAGAGCCTGCATGAACCAGGAACCATTGGTAGTATTGCGCCAGGAGTAAAAACCTGTCAACAAATCAAAATAATACAAGTGAAAGAAAAATGTTAATATGATACTGCCATCTTTAATGACAGCATGGAATGAACTATGAGAATGGATCACTTGAAAAGGTGGAAAATGTCGAATTATTACGATGATACCAGTTCAAGCAATTAAAATGGACAGCACACAGAACTTACAGATCTTTTAAATACCTGGTATAGTAGAATACACTATCAGAAAATCAGCATGTGTGGGAATCTTGTATCCCATGGCACCGCCGTCAACTTCAGTCCGTTTCTGTAACGTGATGCCACCATCCAGTTTATCCCCTTGGCAAGCCTAGGAACCACATAAGAACACATGAAAGAAGAATGGGTACTTGTGAGTTATCGGGACACATCGCTTTTTGTGTCCCGATAACCGACAAGTACCGAAGGATGTGATGATTTTTCTCTTTAGGAGCAGAAAATGTTATGGTTTAGTGTTTATGCTGGCACCAACCCTTTAAGAAACAAGTCGAGTATGACGTTAAATTCGAAGAGGGACAATTGTATAAGATTAACACATTGTGACCGAGCCGTAATCACTGGCGATGGCTGTGAATATCATGAAATCAGAAGGATGATGGCCTCATGAATGACGAAGTAAGCTCTTAATCTATAACACGAGGTATTACGCCATATACCTGAACAATGTTTTGCTGTCAATTAAAAATGGTGCAGCATTATTATAAAGGACCATCTTCAAATTATTTGTTTAATAAGAAAATTAAGCGAATTAAAGTTTAATAAGATTAAAAGCAATTCTTGAAGTTCAGTTTATTGAACAGCAGTTATAATATTTTAAACATAATACTTCCACATAAGTTAATTTTTGCTAAATAATTAAATCTTCGTCAATTTTATTCTGTAACGTTTAGGAATTTAATTTTAACCACGGGGAAAATATTTTATTTAAGCCTCTTGACAAAACCTTCAACAATACTTCACCTGTAGGAAGAACAGCTTTGGTTTTCCTGCAAGAGTTGGGCACTTGTCGGCGGTAAAAGGTTTCCACAGGGACTCAGGCTTGTACGGGTTGTCTCTTGCATGTATGATTCCCATTTCACCATGAGACAGGACAGCCAATAGGAAACAGTCACAGTCTGAGTGGTCGCTCCCTGCCACTGGAATAAGCACAGATAGAAGTGCAGAGCGTACTGACTTCTTTAATAGTCGTTATGAATTACTTTTATGCCATCATTCATTCCTGTTTAAATTAAGGTTACTTTTTTTTTCACTTTGTGTCTGGCCAAGTGCTCAGTGAGAGGTGAAGCCCCCATCTGAGGACAAAACCAATATTAATTTGGGCATACTGTTCGTATCTGGTTTGGTGATTAAGGAGAATTGAGCAGTGGGTCATGCAGTTCTGCCAGGAGTCAGGAGGTGACAGTTACGTTCTTGTAGGATTTCAGACTTTCACGGTGAGTAAACCTTAGGTCATTATCGTACTGTGGCCCAAAGTAATTGTGCAACACTTGTTTTACGGCAATGATCCCCTCCCCACTGGGTAACAATCAGACTATACGTTCCACTGTTTCTGATAAAAGGCCCTTACAGTGGCGTGTGTATAAACCAAATTAGTCAAGACCTTGTTATCATGGAATTAGTGACTATTACTAAACAGCTAACCTTGCTCCACAATCTTAGTGATTTCTTTACATTTCAGGTCATCATGTACTGTAACTTGAAAACCCAAATCAATAAGAGTTTCCTTGAGTTTTTCGCGATCAACATTTGTTCCATTTCGCTGTTTCAGTGCGTGAGTATCAAACTTTTCATGATTGAAAATTATAGCCATGCCTCTCCTCTTGTAGTTCATATTGTAATATGCAGAATTCCTGTCAACTGGCATACATGCAACATTAGGGTTGGGCAGAATCCTGAAAAGAAAATATAATCTGGGTATTTACACAGCTTCTATAAAAATATGTTTATGAAGAATATTAGGAGAGCAACATTAACTATAAAAAAACAACCAGATAAATCTGATATTTGAAGTTCTTTTAGCAGTAAAGATGTCAATTTGGTTTTATGCATTTGGATAACTGTAAAAATGATTTTCAATGAAAGGTAATTTGATGCTGTTTTTAGCTAGTCACATCAGATATACAATACATTAATGATAAACTGTGTGAAATTGCCGCAACTCTGTACTCACCTTGGTCGATGCAATGCATCCCCTACATCATCACCACCACTTACAGCATCAACTTCAGCTACGTTTGAGTCGACAGTAGCCATAGCTATCTGAAAATAAACCACCTGTGACATATTATTTGGTTTATGTACATGTAATTATTTTTTATACTCAAGAAACTAGATGAGTGAACACTAAAAAGGGGTGTTCAGAAGAGGAAATAATGCAAAATGAAGTTGTAGTAACAGTAAATCACTGAAAAACGGAGAGAAAATAGATTTTTTGGACTATCCTAAGCCTCAATATTCGATGGAAGGCTTTTATTTCAAATTACCACAGTCGAAACATGAATTTTAATAATTTTGCCGGTATTTCACGTCTAGTCTAGTCTAGCCCACAGCACTTAAGATCGGTATTTGAAGGATCCCGGGATCGATTCTGATCGCTATCGCAAGATAATACATAAATTATAAGTACTTTAAGGACTAAACTCCACATTTGAAAATGTTTGTAACACGTACCTTGCAATATCAATAACCTACAACATAACCAACAACTAACCGCTTTTTTTTCATTCTTGTTCAGGGCATTTCATATAAGTAATACAATATGAGGACTTTATACAGGTGATTTTAACACACAAATAAATGCAGAATCAATAGATTTAAATTTATTCGTACCCACTTACATGTTACGCAGTTTCTAACCAAAGTTCTTTATCATTCACATGAACTGACGTTGCGCGAACAAAGCTGCGAGAAATCGAGAACAATCGATATGGTAGGTGGGTTCGAGACATAAAAAATCGCTAGCAGAAAGCATAAATTCATTCATTCAATCATTTATTTGTCCATTAAATCAATACACACTGATATTGGATATAGCATGGACAAAGGTAAAATACAATCAATATTGAATACAAAACATGAAGAATACATTCAAATGTATATATAATGCAGATATTTATGAAAAATGAAATAATAAATAAAAACTGTTCATTGACAGATCGTACAACACAATATTGTGAAGTCCGTTAACAAATACAGTAACAATTAGCAAAGCAGATCTGAAAATATTTCAAATGCCGTCATTAGAGGAACTGTAAATAATATTCTTCAATAGAGTAGTTACACCCTTTTAGGAACAGCTCCTTCAACTTCTTTTTAACAGTCGATCGTCTCTTATCAATTTGATATGAGCTTGGAGTTTATTGTATAATTACAATGGCTGGCCTACTGTTATAGATGTTAAGGTTGTAAGGTAACTGGTGATAGTTATGAACCTATTCATTTGTAATAGCTGCATCGTTCTCTTTAATGAATAAAATTACCTGTAATTACAGTGAACATTAAAGTTTGAATCTGTAGTCTAACTATATTTCTCAACACGTGTCAGTTGGTCTCAAGCCAGTGATACATTTGACTGCCCATTTTTGCAGAATAATTTTATTTACAGCTCTGACCCCAGGCAATAATTCGATTTGTAAGAAAAGGGTGATTTAACCCATTTTTTTACAGTATATACAACATCTAAATCCACTATGAGACAATCTCTTAATTCCAAACAGAGTACCACTAATCTTATTGCGTATTTTGTCTATAAGTTTGCTGTCAGTTCCTAGGAAATTTGTGGTTTCTGCCACATTGATTTAATCCCTTCCAATTTCCGTAATTAATTTAGAGACTAGTTCATTTCTCCTCGTACAAAACATTATGAATTTTTTTTATTCAAATGTATGTTTTACTTTACTTATATTATTACAGGAACAGTTCCCAATTCATCCAGAATTTTATCCATATTCAAAATTGAAGTATCATGCCCTGCCTTAATTTAATTTTCGAATATCATTGACACAGATGAGAACTGGTCCAAGTACGGATTTCAAATTTGATGGGCAAAGTGTTTGAATAATAAAATCTCTGGTGTTTATCTTTAATCTGGGTTATCTGGATTGCTGAGTCCTGTTTGTGAGATAAGACTTAATCATGTTAAGTTTACTCAAGGCGATTAACAAGACCAAAATAATGGTGTTGCTATATAGTTTTTTTATTTAGATTTTTAATTACATCATTGATAATTGACGCTATTGCATCATTTGTAGGTTATGTTTTTTAAAACTAAACTGATAATTACTAAAGATGTTGTGTTTATGAGATGGTAAAGTTGCGTCATATTGTGATATAATAAATATATATTATTTAAATCTTGTCCGTCTAATCACAATAAATTCTTATTAAATATTAAAATATTACAATAATTAACATTTAAAATATTAAATGATGTTCTTTATCGATAAAGATCATTTAATATTTTTAAATATTTTAAATGTTAATTATTGTAATATTTTAATATTTAATAAGAATTTATTGTGATTAGACGGACAAGATTTAAATAATATATGTTATGTTTATTAAAGAACAATACTAGTTTCGTCCTTACACATTCTTTTGTGTAGTTGTCTACACATTATGTAGAAATTTAAACTTGGAACTTGAAATTAGTAATTTTCCAAATTTTTATTAACATCAGTTTCGCTGAATGCCTCAGACCACACATAATTTTTTTTTGAATGTGCGTAGGCAATTTGTTGGTCTGCGAGAGTTCTCCTGCTTCTCTGTAATGGTTTTTACGATATATCCTGGGAGCTATTACATTAATCTTTCAGGCAATAGACCGAGCATAATGATAAGACGGTAGGCTTTGTATTATCTGTACGTGAGTTCGACTATTATCTGTGACAAGGGTTGTCTTGGTTATGATTAAAGTTAGATTAGAGTTATTTGCAGTGTCTGTGAGCTGTTTGATATTTATATTAATATCTCATAATATAATACTTCTATCGTGTAACAAAAAGAAAAAAAGAATACATCCAATTCTCCACTTCGCTATCCGCAAACATTTTTCACTATAATTTTGTTAGTGATATTTTATTAGAGACGTATTAGTGTAATTCCACCACCTTTACGTTTACTTCTACAGGAATGAGAGAAAACAGAATATCCTGCTGGGGAGACCTAGACGTAGATGGGAGGATAATCTCAGGCGGGATCTATGGGAGATAGGAGTTGAAGGAGACTGGATTTTGTTGGCCCAGGACAGAGTCCGGTGGAGGGCTTTGGTTAATTCGGTGATGAACCTAGCTAGTTAGTCAGTATATCTGTGGTGGTGTAATGATTAGCGCGGTTATCATATATGCATTTTATCCGAGCTCAGATCCCGACAATAGCGTTTTTTATATTTGATTAAAAATACAGTTTTGTTTAAAATTTATTATAAATATAATCACAGTGATTCGAACATTTTCGTCTTTAACACAAAAATATTCTTGTGGGATTAAAGAATTGTTTTATTTTAAACGTAGTACAGTACTGAGACAAATATTTTTAAGTACTCGGCGTGTCTCTAAGAGTACTCTTCAAAAGGCAACGATTTAACATCATATTCCTTTTTGCTAATCGCAAAAGTAGACCAATGGATTCTGCGAGGGTTTGGCACAGAACGTAGAAAGTGCAGATACTGTGTCAAGCCCACAAATATATTGTGCACGACAAACCTGTCCTTCCACTTACTTGCCGTGACGTAACGTGATTTTAATATACCGTTGGATGCATTACACGTCTTGAAGGCATAAGTGTATAACATTTTGGCAGTTCCAACAGCTGTTCTCGGGCATGGTACTGGAAGACACGTTTGTTTTCATGGTACGTCTTCGATTTTCTTATTGTGGACTTGTCTAGCAGGATTCCTCTGTCTCCTTGACATTTTGCGCGTTGAACGTAATCCGGGTTGCATCATCAGTGACTGTGTTTTATAACAGATGTTGAATTCGGTATTCAACTGAGAATGTACTTTAGAAGTAATTCGGTGTTACGTCTGTGATTGGCTTTGGTAGAAAAGTGACAGAAGATCTCCTCTTAAGGTAAATGTATGTATTTAAAGCAGGTAGGCAAGGCTTCATACAGAGTATTCAGGAAAACATTTGACCTTACGAGGTATGAGGAAAGGAGAATGGTACATAACGAGGAACTCTGTGATTCACCCACAGTTTTCAGGACAGTAACATCAAGAAATTTATAATTAAATAAGCGTGTAGGTGACACACGAATATTTAGATTTTTTATGGGGGGATGACTGTTACAAGGCGCCCACTTTTATGATTAATGATGAGATGGAAAGAAAATATTAAAATGTGTCCTATTGAAATAATTACGTGGTAGACGTGTGATCTAGTTTGAGATGGAACATGATCGTATCCACTGATTGGCTTTGCAATTGGCGATGATGGATTATTATCGGATTAAGAGAGAGAAAAGTTTTAAGAAAGCATTTCGACTGGATTTTAAGGCCACATTCATCACTGGGCATGGGTGGCAAACATTGTAGGCCTGTACGAATATTTTAAGCCAAGAGCGACGTATTCTTATTTAGGAGTCCCGTAAGTGAAAGCAATCTTGCAGCTGTGGCTTGCTGTGTGGACGGGACGTGCTGGCATTCAAGGTGTTTTGATCGAGACACATATGTTTTTAACTTAACTACGTAGGAAGACCTAAGCGTAGATGGGGGATAATATTAAGGCTTTGACCGGGATGTTCTTTTGTTAAATCTTATGTGGTACCGCCTGATTAGACTTCTAATGGTTAAGTGAAGTGTTTTCTTCGCGGTACGGTCTGGATTCGTAAATATTATTAAGACGAGCTTCGGCTTCAAAGGGTTAACCAGCTGATTTTCGTAATGGTGAGGTGTAGTGTTTTCTTCGCGGTACGGGCTGAATTCATAAATAATATTCAGACGATCTTCGGCTTCAAAGGGTTAAATGAACCTCATAGAAATAGTGTGTGTTGGATTCGACTGGCGAAAAATTGTGAACGCGATATCGAACATTCGATTTTATAAATCTTAGGAATTTAGTGAGCAGTTGAGCTATGATCAGCGTCTCTGTTCTTTCCCCATCGCCGAACCACTTCTCGGCCGTGTCTACCTACATGTTTCCCGTTCACTGCTGTAGCAATTGATGTCATGGTCTCGTACGTCACGAAACGACTAGCAATCTCAGCGCATCTCGAAACATTTCCTGGTAAATTAAACTGCACTCCATGAAGGAGACGTTGTGTTGTTCGTATAAGTGCTAATGGGTCATTAGTTTGTAATGAGAGCGCTAATGATAAGGGTTTTATCTATCTGAAATGTTTTGATTGCGATCGGCCTAAATCTGACCATTTTTCATATTTATCTCAGTGAAAAAAGGGAACGAGCGGTGATCAAAGATGTCTTGGATCGAGGATCCTGGCTGGAATGAGTTCCGGGGTTTGAATCTCAGTGACTTGAAGGTGGATGAAGCGTTTGTAAATGTGACGTCACTACTTTATAGCTCGTTATGGCTGTACACCCTATCGGACGAATGCTACAAGGTAAGATCTGTTATCACATCTACTTCGGATGTAGGACGCCAGTGACTAGGTTCAGAAATAATTCGGCACTCTGATCTGCCACTAGAGTGTAATTAAACGTACATGATCGTGGTTTTCAGTGTCCTTACTCTCGACTGACAAGCATTCCTCCGCGTCAGAATCGGGTCCTCACGGTTGACACCAAACACGGAACATCATGGCGTCTTCTTTTGAATGGTTCCATGGAATTCATTCAAAGACAAAACAGAAGGTGAGCATATTTAAAGAACACAACATCGTTTACAGAGATTACGTAATTGTATGTTCGTTGCCCGCGCTCCAATCTTCTTTGTGTGCTGGGAATAATATTTGGATACTTGAAAAAGCTACATAAGTCATACTCATCAATGTTTTTTTAACTGATTTGTGGTACATAGAATTTAATTTGATTTTGCAGTTCTCTTATATGTGAACTGGAGCCATCTTTCGGAGAATTTGGTGTGTATGACCTCGTTATCAGCGGAACCGAGTCTGGCGATGTCCTGTGCTCTATGACCACAGCCAAGGAACCTGTCAATATTTACTTACGTGAGTCCTAAGAAACAAACAGGATTAAAAAAATCAGAGCTTATCGTTGTATCTTTTTAAGATCGAAATTTATTTTAATAATGTCACAAAAGTTTTTGTTTCGTGCAAACTGCACACACGTCTGCGCCTTACTGATGCGACAACTTCTCCTACTCACGAGCTAATATCATAGTATAAGTTGACGGGGGCTTTACAATGTATTCAACTCTTTTACGAGTTTCATCTCCAGCAGATTTCGAAGAAATTAGGGCCAGCAATAAATATTGTTGGGGGTAATTTAATTTTAGTGTTTATAGGCCTGATATACACCGCCACGGTGGTCTAGCGGTTAGAACGCTGGCCTTGTAATCCTGGGGTCTCGGGTTCGATTCCCGGCGGTGCCCGAATTTATAACTTGTGTTGGGCAAGGCCGTGGTCTAGGCAACACGGAGTTTTCCTCCGTGGCATCCCAACAATTACTCCATTCACACACAGAAGAAGGCAATGGCAAACCACTTCTGGATCATCTGCCAAGAACGTATATGAACAGGTCCCAGTCCGAGAAAAGGATGGAAGGATCCTGTTAATATGGACCTGTCGTCAGACAGAACACTAATTAATAATAATTAGGCCTGATATAACTCTCACTTTACATTAACTTAATCGCTTTCTCCTCTATGTCTCGTAATGCCTTGTGTAGTAACAGCAGATCTGTTTTAAAGAGAGTTATTCCGTTTTACAGCACTGATTCTGTGTTTGATGGGACTGGCCATTATCTGGCTTCTGTTCTTGTCGGGGTCCAGCGTGACAAGAAAGTGGCTGGATTACAGGAGACGGATCATCGAACCGACTAGCGGGTCTCAGGTCGCATCAGCTTCCGATGGCAAGAACGTATCGCAACACCAGTCTCCTCAAAGACTCCGTCTCAAGTCTCTGGACACTTTCCGAGGGTAATGCCTAACCCTTTAAATGTGGAAGACGATGTATCTCCAGCTTCTTTTTTCTCATAATGTCTCCTATTTTTGGAAAATGTAGACTGATATAAAGATGACTGCGTTCTGGGTTGTAGATGTAGTCTGCTAGAAGTATGCCGACGTTTCAGAGGTCATCAGGGCGATGAGTGAATCTTCGCCCTGATGATATAGGCAGCTAGCTTAACAAACCAGACTCGCCGCCTTAAAAACCTCAAATCCTGCTTCCCGTTGTCTTCCTGGTTTATCGTTCCTTCTTTTCCTCATATCTTTCCGGGAATTCCCGTCTTCACTACATTTCCATCGCCGCTTTCCAACTCGTTCCAGCCCTTTGGTGTCGAGGTCCATCTTCCACTTGTAGAGACTCAGAAGCCAACAGTCTTTGCACTCGGGGGATGACGTAATCTGTGATTTTCTCTGCAGGATCAGCGTCGTTCTAATGATATTCGTTAACGATGGCGCCGGCGGGTACTGGTTCCTGGAGCATGCCACCTGGAACGGCCTGCAACTCGCCGATCTCTTGTTTCCATGGTAACTCGCCACAAGTGTTTCCTCAGGCTATCTCGCTAAACATTGAACAGTAAAATACGAAGCGTAAACTTTTGGAAGTAAATTATTTTGCCACAGCTCGACACTGAATTAAAAAAAAAATCACGTCTTTGCATCGTCCATAACGTGCCTTAGTAGCCCAGTCGCCTGTCAGAGGAAGTCAATTAACTCAGATCTTAAGTTGAATGAGAAGAAAACGTCGATGGTTTTTGGTAAAATTTTAAGTTCTGTTTTCGTACTAGGTTCATGTGGATAATGGGGGTCTGTATTCCTATCTCGGTGAGGTCGCAGCTCAAGAGGAATGTCCCTAGGTCCACCATGTTTCTCGCCGTCCTTCGGGTGAGTGAGTCCCTTTGATAGGTCCTCAGCCACTGAACCGCAGAGGATGGTCTAGGACGAACAATTTCAATCAAAATACTCCTAAACTCTGAAACAAATAAGAGTTAGTTATCACGAATTATTAAAATACATTGTCCAGTTTATGTTAACTTCGAACTTTACATTGATTTTTTTTTCAAGAAATATGTAAAAGATTTTTAAAATGCGTGGTTTTATTTTGAATATTCTTATTGTTTGACAGAAAACATTAGTGTTTGTGGAATCCAAAGTTCTTCGCAGTTCCTGCAAAAACTTTATCAGTGCTACTGTGTCTAAAAAAAAAAAAACATGTTCGTAACAAGAATTTCTATATTTACGGACCCCCTCGTAATTTTGAGACGATAGTTTCCGATGTAACTTTACTCAAATTATATTTTTGATATATGATTCGAAACAAATATTTCACGATTTAAAACAAATGCCGTGTTAGCCGAGTTAAAATACACGAAATTTCTATTATTATTTAATCTCGAGAACTCTCATTGCTACCAATTCACTTTTGCCGTTTAGAAACTAACCTAACCCGAGAATCTGTCGCTTTACTTTTAATACTTTTAATTAAGTTTTATTTTAGTCATGCTTTGGGCATTTCTGTGACGTCTTTTCCCCCTTGACAGAGAGCGTCCATTCTTTTCCTGTTGGGGCTGGTATTAAACTCTTTGTGGGGTTCAAGACTGGAGACGATGCGAGTCTTCGGCGTTCTTCAAAGGTTTGGACTTGTCTACTTCGTCGTCGCTACGCTCTGCGTATTTCTTACGTGTCGCAGCTACCGAACACCCAAGGTTAGATTTTTCCATCAACGTATCAAATACTTAAGGTAACAACAGGTTAGAAACGATAAATCCATCACAGTTTGGGGCTGAGTGTTCATGTTAGCCTGGCTAACACTTTAAAAATATATAAAAAGAGAAGTTTTTGGTCTCACTGTCGTGGTTCAGTGGCGATAAGTACATTGAAACAGCAGAACCGCTCAGGTAAAATGCATGTTACGACGCTGCGAGTGTTAGCCTCGACTAGGTGGCTAACAATATTTTTAAGATTAGAAGAACGTGTAGTGGGAGTGAAGCCACGATGTTATGAGTCGTGGAGGGCCTCGAGAAGAACGTTGGCGAGTTCATATATTTTTATACAATACGATGATCATTCTTAAAATTAGGGGTGTTTCTTAAGTTTCTGTTCAAAGATGGGATGTCTGAGTACGAATAGCGAGAATGACCCGAGATTCAAACGAGTGACTCCAGATTTGTCGGTATTACAGATTCCTTTTCTTGCGGCATCTCAAGACATCGTAGTCCTGCTTCCTCAGTGGATTCTGATGGTGGGTGTCGTGGCCGGTCACTTGGCCCTCACGTTTTATCTGGACGTCCCCGGATGTCCTAAGTGAGTAATTCATTCGACTGAAGAACGCAGGTTTTTCATGATAACATTTGTCTGCATTTCGCGTCCTTTGTGACGAGTCATGTGCCTCACTTGACGGAAATCACGAACGAAATTTTCCGGATGAAAACGGGAACAGTTTGTTTCTGAGGATCAGCCGTTGAATGGCAAAACTGATGCATCGGAAATCTACGACTCAGAGGAAAACATTGAGTTTGAATATTGAAGTCCTGGAGGAATGGATACTCAGAATTTGATGGGGTTTCGTGTATTTTGAAAATACTTCAAATTCTTGTTTAAATACACGTAAAATACCAAAAATGATTCCACGGTTAATCTAAAGCAACGAATACAAATTGCAGGTTTAATCGCGAGTTAAGTGGTAAGAAGAATCGATCTTTAAGAGAAATTAGAACATCGGAAGATTTTTATTTGTGTTTCGTCTAAAGGTAGACGGACACCACTTACTCGTTAGTGCAAATAGGGTCTTATTGCCCCTCATGTCTTCAGGGGGTACTTGGGCCCCGGCGGTGTTCAGGACAAAGGGCAGTTCAAGGGCTGTGTCGGCGGAGCCACGGGCTATTTGGACCGCCTGATACTCGGGGAGAATCACATCTACCAGCACCCAACTGCGCGGAAGGTCTACGGGTCGGGACCCTTCGACCCTGAGGGTCTTACGGGTAAGTTGTCAGTGGTCCAGCAGATTGACTGATCTTGTAAGAGACGAAGAGATTGAAGTTGGTAACCCACCTCTCCTCTTTTAGGATGCCTGCTCTCGGTGTTCCAAGTATTTCTGGGGGTGCAGGCCGGCACCACCCTTTCCTTCTACAGTGACTGGAAGGGGCGAGTGACCCGCTGGAGTGTGTGGGGCGCGGTGGTTGGTATCTCGGCTGGAATACTTTGCCTCGCCAGCAAGGACGAAGGCTGGATACCGATCAACAAGAACCTTTGGTGAGCCTCACAATTGATGATGATGAACCAGTGGATCAGAGGGCGAGCGGTCTGATATGCGACCTGTGTTTGTCCCACAGGTCGCTGTCCTTCGTACTGGCGACGTCGTGCCTCGCGTTCTTCTTGCTAGCCGCCTGTTACGTGCTTATCGACGTCAGAGGCTGGTGGAGTGGAGCTCCGTTCTTTTATCCAGGTCAGTGCTAATTTCTGCAGAAAAAGTCGAAGCCATGTTGATCCGGAAGCTCCTTTAATCCGGCAAATTGTCTTTAACACGGACACTGCTGAATGCGGAAATAATTCCGCTGGACTTTGTCTTTGAGTATTCCTACCAGTAGTTGGACGGAATTGGGCCCAGACACTGACAACGTGTGATATGCGGAATTTGCATTAAAGTTAATCCGCCTTTGCGCGGACAACTGCATTTTCTTTCGTGGGAAGGAAACTGAAGCCAGATGATTGTCACAATTTCTGTTATTAGCATCGGAATACATATTTTATCTTGTAGTATTTGAGGTTTCCGCGACGGTGAGTCCGAAGATGGCGATCGCAGAAGTGAAACGTTCCCACCGGAAGTCGAACCCCGAATCACCACCTTATTGAGCCAACACAAGTCCTGTAAATTGTTAACACGTGTCGACTCAAATAATATTGAGCCTAGTTCTGGAATCTGGTGGAATTAATCGAAAGTCCAACCAACTCACCGTTAAAGTTACACCCTCGAGACATCACACTCACGAAAATTATCTTATTTTGTCATACTTAACGAAAGAAGGAGGGGTTAGGGTGCTTGTGTCACATTTCCGAACCAGATAGTGAATTTACACAAAATTTCGTAGCCCGGGAATGTCTTTGCAGGCTGTAAGAAACCCATCGCCTCGATAAATGTTATGGACGCCATTTTGTAGTGTAACACGTCTGTATTTATCGCAAGTGTTTTTTGTGTTCCCCAGGAATGAATGCCACTATCATGTACGTGGGACATTCTGTCGCCTTCCGGATGTTTCCCTGGCACTGGTCCCTAGGGACCATGAACACACACTTTATCCTGCTCATCGAGTCCCTATGGGGCACAGCCCTCTGGGTACTTGTGGGTCTTTGGCTTCATAACATCAAATTCTTTTTGTCGCTGTAACATCGTGTGACGTAATAGTACGAGGGCTATTGAACTGGAGCACAGCCGACGAATATCCCAGTCATATTTCATTTTAATGATGTAAGGAATTGAATAAATGAATCTGTATACTTTTGTCTTTGGGGTCATAAGATGATTATTCCTCGGTTGTTCATTGTAATAAACGCTTTATGTAAAGGTTGGACGCCAGCGGAATATGACGAAAGAAAGAATTAGTTTGGGGAACAGTCGGTAAGGAAGGTGTTCTCTTTTCTGTCAGGGAGGTTTTAGCAGCTTGAGTGATGAGATCTGAAGACAGGAATTGGAGATGAAGATGATACTTGATTTATTGACTACGTAAAATGTAGTTACTTTTCCCGTAATTACTGAATTTCGAAATATTTAAAAATGTTGAGATATTTGCAGAAAAAAAATCAAGTGTGTTGTGAGCTTCCGCGATTAGATTCACGAACCCTCGAACCATTAAAACAAGCGACGTTAAGGATTACAACATAATTGTAGCATTTTTTTTTCCGTGTACTGTTTCTTATTCGTAATTTTTCGTATTTCAGACATAATTGTAGCATTTTTTTTTCCCGTGTACTGTTTTTTCTTATTCGTAATTTTTCGTATTTCAGAAGTCGGAATACTCTGCACTTACTCTGTGTTGTCGGATTTAAATCTACCCCATTTGTGACAAGAATGTTCTATCTGAAATAAATTCTGTGGAACACAATACAGAATAAATCTATTTGAAGAGAGAGCAGCACGTAAATGAGTCAATTAGTTTCCATCAAACTTTTATTCTAAAATTTTTACTTTTACTCATGGTAAATTTATATTAGTCTTTATTATGTATTTTTCAGTGATCATATACATTTAATGTTAAAATAGGTCTGTCTTTAAATTCATGTTACGTTGAAATTTTAAGTTATTTTAAAAGTCTAATGTTGAATCGGTCTTTAAATGATGGACAACATGGTTGCCAACACATTAAGAAGACAGACCGTCCTGTCTCGGTCGTGTTCTTTATTCTGATTCCGAGAAACTTTTGAAGATAAGGTATCTATCCGACGTCCCCAAGGACAGGACCTCGGGGAGTTTCTGTGAGCGGGTAACTTTGTTGTTTCATGCTTCGCTGGCAAACCGAGACGTATTTAAAACAAGGGACGTAGCAAGACAGGGGTAGGTTTTCGCGATCAGCCATCTCACAACAACTGTTCTACAGGTAACAGATGGAGACACAACGATCGATAGAAAGACACGTGCTACAGTTTCGAAGAACATCACGAAACTTGAAAATGTAATGGATCATTTTCGTTTAGTACGGAGGGACATATTATTTACGATCTTTTCTGTATCTGACGTGTTGATATTAGTTATAATTAAAAGCCGATCACACTTTTATATGGCAATGAAAATACCCATAAAGTTTTGGAAAAGTGTTGTACAAGAAATTTTGAGATTCATGTAGAATAAAATTTATAATGTACTCATGTAAACCAACCAAGCATTCGGGATTAAATTAGTTTAAAATCGAATATAACACGTTTTGGAGATAAAAGACGTCGAAGTGCATAACCTTCCTATTATGCGTTTATTTTACACGCGTTATGAAAATAACTTTTAAAACAAGGAATATTTAACAGTTCGAAACGAAAGCTTACCTGTTACAGGCTGACAGTATTTAAGTGAGATCACCCACATACCTGTTTCAATTTTGTTGTCTGCAGGTGGAGAGCTGTTTTAGAAATCAGCGTAGTTTCTACACAAATTTGAATCTGATCATGTTGCTTTGGTGTCGTGTTGACTGTGAATTTGGTTCATAGTTTCAACACTGCAAACCAATGCTATTGCTTCAACATTATTTCTAATTTGCATACTTTATGTGGGTTTAAAAAAAGTTTTAGTCTGATGGACGACGTTGCGATTCAGAGCTAAAGTGAACTTAGATTCTCGTGGCAGTGACGATGCCTGTTATGGTCTTAAGGGATGCTGGATCCTGTAGTCTGTCGTATACTGACGTTCCAATGGAGCCTTCTGACTCCGTCATCAGCTTTAATCTGAGGGTGTTCGAGAACAATGGTGTTGAGGAGAATAATTGTACACAAGAGAGATGTTTTTACAGAGGATTGGAGAAAATTTCGTACTGAGAAGCTTTATCATAATGTATGCCTACTCCATATCAGATATTGTTAATGTTGTTAAATCAAGAAAGATAAATTTGGTCGATGCACATATCAATGTAAGAGAAGATTTGTTAGACAAAGGAGTAGATGGTAGATGGGAGGATATTATTGAATGTGCTCTTAGATAACTAAGGCGTTATGGAAAGTGGATTAATCTGGTTTGGTTTAAGATCCAATGACGTTAATTTGTGAACATACAAATTAACCTTCTTATTACATACACATGAGAATGTATTAAATACCTGTGTATTAACTGGAAAAGATGTGCCGCGAAAGAAATCTGTATTGAAGGCCGCATATTTCTTGTCAGGTTTATGGCGTGTTGCGAGTTGCTTCTCGCAGGCGCCGCTATTCTAAGTCACTTCACTCTGCTGTCTGCCTGCGGTTGGCTGAACAAAGCACGCGTTAATGAAACCACTTTGTCATCATGAATATGGAAGCAGCATCAGCCGTTGTGGAGAAGGCTGGGGTATTTTTGTCAACATCATAAGTTGAAAGAACCGTGTCCTTTATTGCTGCTAGTACGGTTAAACGAGTAAACTAAGAAACGAGTGTTCCCGTTATACATCAACGTTCTTTGTCATTTTCTACTTTTCTTATTTGATTCAGGTCTTCTGGACTGCAATGCTATGTAGTCTTGTTGGTGGTTATAAATGTTTCGGTGTAACGAACCAGGTTCATCATCAGCATGCGATTTAATGGGAACAAAATTTTTGGAATGCTACGGTGGCGGGAAAGAAACTGTATTTACTCTTGAATAACTGCTACAAAAGTCTCTCTGAGAGCTTATTCTCAAATATGGAATTCATTTTGTCTTCGCCAATTCCAAAATGAAAGTAGGCATTCTAAAATACATTTTAATTCCGAGATATTGTTAAATGTTTGATAGAACAGAGTAAAGAGGACTAACAATTACATGTATTTAGGTTCATAAATTTCTAACGTGTTAAGACTAGACAGATATCGTATAGGGAATGTAAAATGTGAGCCAAATCATGTCACAAAATAGGTTCTGTATTATATAGTCTTGTAATATTTATCTGTATTTTCCATAAAATTAGTTTTAATTTTGCTCTTTAATTTAAAAATTTTCAAATATTTTTGGTTTTGCGCGCGTTTTGGACAATTTCCAGCATTTTTGTTTTTGTGAAAATTTTCAAATTTTTCAAATTTCTTTCAAAATTCTCCCAACCTTATGCCTTGCAAACCGGTCTCTGTCGGACTGTTTCTGA